TGTGACCAAATTTTCCTTTCTATCTTGGTATAAGAGTTCACTAAAGTATTAGCATTTGAGTCCATCCTTAAGGATGAGTGTGAGATTTCAGTGGACTAAAAAATGATGAGAATTGGAGGTAGAATGAATGTTATTATGAACTATAATAACAATATGGGAAATGAAATGGCTTATCCATAAAAGGGTAAGTTAGTCCAATGTGGCTGGAACTTACCAGAACAGACTCTGCAAATTATAAGTCTATGTAGTAGGAAGCTTACAGAGCATCTTGAATGACTTTAAGGAATTTGATATTCTGAGGTCATTGAAGCCATCAAAAGATTTTGAGCAGGCAACCAACTTGAATATGTGTTTTGAGGTTTGAGGTTTGGCTAAGCACTAAGCACTATGATATGCCTTGGAGGGGCAAAGATGAGTAAACATAGTCTTTATCTTTGAGGAGCTCAGTCTATAGGGGAAGGCAAATATCCATTCATAGTGCCCAGTATGAGCTCTATGCATGAGAAGTAAAAGAAAAATGATGATCACTTTTACCTGACTGTATAGTAATGTTTCAGATTTAGAGCAAAGTAGACTGACCTTTATTAAACTTTTGAATTGCGCTTTTGCCAGTGGTTGTAATGAGTATGCCATTCCCTTAGGCCACTTCCCTGAATATACATTGCCACCCATGTCTCTGGGTTTGGTGCAAAATAAATCTTGTTCATTAAAGAATTTTAAACATGGCCGTGTTTGTCTTGGTACCTACTTTGAACTAGAGACAACTGTCCACAATTCCATGTAAAGTAGGATTCTATGATTTTATTAAAGTATTACAATAAGTAAATGCCACTGTCGCAATTGAATGCTTTTTTTCTTGTATAAAATAGGTGGAGGTTTTTGATCTGCTTTTTGTCACTAATGAGAGCATTTCTCGAAAGACCTACGTAGTGCATTGTCAAGATTGTGCACGAAAAACAAGCAGAAACCTGGACAATTTTGTGGTGCTAGAACAGTACAAGATGGAGGACCTGATGCAAGTCTATGACCAATTTACATTAGTAAGTGAAATCAACATGTGAGTACATAGTTAGCTGGATAGGGAAGCAGCATTGTTTGTTCTGCCACCTGATAAACAGGAGGTATGAAATATTTAAATTTTCTTTTGGCTCGTTAGATATTGCATGATGTTCCCCTCCTCCACGTCCAAGTATTTATTCCTATGAAGTTAGCATATTTTATTTTCACTTTCCTTCCTGGGCGAGACCAGCCTAAATAATACCACAGTAATTACATTTTAAAATCTTTGTGTGCTTTTTGAACACTATCACATTGTCACCTCAGTTGATAAAATTTTTGTGTACACACAGGTTATTAGTGTCAACAAAATGAATCAGTAAATGTGCTTTTAAATATACTTCTGCTTTTAGAGCTAATTGTATTTATTTAAAATTTTGTTCTTGCCGGAAGTATTAACCTCATGAGAATATTTGTTAATCCTCACCCAAGGATTCCCCCCTCCCCACCACTGATATTTAGAGAGGGAGGGAAGGAGGGAGGGAGGGAAACATCGGTGTGCTACACCATCTGTTGCTTCCCATACGTGCCCTGATCGAAGCTGGGGATTCGGCAACCCAGGTATGTGTCCTTAACTGGGAATCGAACCCAAGACCCTTTGGTGCTTGGGCTAACGCTCTAACCATTTGGCAACACAGGCCAGGGCAACCTTATGGAGAATATTTGATGGAGCTTAACTTCCTGCTACATTATACAACCTTATAAAATTCAAGTATACTTATAAATTGCACACAATTTTTAACTTTCAAACAGCAGATGCTTAGGGGGAAGCACATCACTAGTTTTATAAATAGGAAAATAATTTATGAATTGTTGATTTCCTCCAATACATTTCTCTTACATATGTGATTAGAAACTGAATTTTTGAAATTTAGCTCCTGATATTTTCATTTGAATGGTCTTCCAGGTTGCCTGAAGAAGAAGAAAATTACCTGGAGTATGTTACACAAAATGCATTATCTAGTTGATAGGTTCTGAAGCAAGTTACTAATGAAATTATAATTGGTTTGTTGTTATTTTCTACAAGTCTTTTTTTTTTTTAGAGTCATCTAAAAAAATGCTCAACCTAATGTTCTTGACTTTTAATGTTCTTGAGTTTATGACTATTTGGTGAAGTAGTACAGAAACATGCTGGTGCACTGAGTAGGGTAATGGTCAGTAAGGGAGGTTATAACTTTGTATACCAAAGTAACATCCCTCACTTTTATTTTTAGGCTCCTCCATTGCCATCTTCCTCATCTTGATATTGTTCCATGGACATTAAATGAGACCTTTTCTGCTATTCAGGAAGTAACCCAGTTCTGCACCACTGGCTTTTAGAGCTGTCTCATAAGGCTGCTGGCTGAAACTGTGTCTATGCAACCTTCCAAGTGAGAGTGTCAACCAACTGGACTGAGGAGGGCACTGCTCCTACTCCAGGACTCTCAACGCTGATCAGCTGTACTTCAGAAAGAATAATAATTTCCATGTTTTGTATATATCTGACAAAACTGGCAACATCATACAGACTACTGACTTGAAGACAACCTCTTTTATATTTCTCTCTTTCTGGGCTGATGAACCTGTTTTCATCCTTTTCCCCTTCAGAATTTTCCTTGGAAAAAAAAATACTAGCCTAGCTGGTAATTTCTTTGTAAGGTAGTTAGCAAGTTTAAGGCTTTCTTTGGTCAACTTTTTTTTAATGTGAAAAGTTAGGTAAGGAACTTTTTTACTGCTTTTATGTTTTTCTGTCTTGTTTTGAAACCATGGCGGTTATTACACTTTTGGTTCCTAAATGAAATGTTTAAAAATTAACAGCCAAGTCACAAAGATAATGGATTGCACATAGACTAAGGAATAAACTTCAGATTTGTGATTTTTGTTTCTAATCTTGATGTAAATTTACACTATTTATAAATACATATTTATTGCTTGAAAATATTTGTGAATGGAATGCTGTTATTTTTTTCCAGATTTACCTGCCATTGAAATTTTAAGGAGTTCTGTAATTTCAAACACTACTCCTATTACATTTTCTATGTGTAAATAAAGCTGCTTAGCATTGTACAGAAACTTTTATTAAAATTGTTTAATGTTTAAAGAGTTTTCTATTGTTTGAGTTTTAAAAAGATTTTATGTACAGTGCCCAGTT